TCCGTGCGCTGCTCTGGTTCGCCAGAAGCGGCTTAGTCATGCTGGCCACATGACCCGAAAGCTGTACGCCGGCTCCCTCGGCAATAAAGCGAGATGAGCTCCGCAACCCCAGAGTCGGTCACGACTGGACCTAATGGTCAGGGGTCCCTTTACCTTTTTACTCACACAGTACTGGCACCTTCCCTCCCCCCCCCAAAAAAAATATATCTTGGCTTCTAAAGTGTGCATGTGAGCAGGGCACAGGGTCTTATTTTGCAAGTCTTAAAGATTGTGTAGATTCATCTGGGAGAGCAATTACTCATCCTCTGAGAGACATTAAAATTCAGGACAAAAACCTTGCAAATTTTACTAGAAATACCATTGCATACAAAAATTAGCAGTAAAAAACCATATTTCAAGCACAATAATAAAAGAGAGAGGTGTGAAATTAAACAACCTAGTGCCTCCAAGCAATACCTTCCATTGCCACAGACCACGACAAACCGGCTTCTGAATGACATAGTATGGTTCAATATACATTGCAAAACAGAGGGGAAATGCATTTGTTTATTGTTATTTCTCCAGTTTGTGGACAGCCCTTCATCATGTCAATGTGATCTCAAGGCAGTTTCCAACAAAGCACAAAATATAATACATAAAAGAAAACAGTTATTAAAAACAACCCAATTAATAAAAAGAAGCAGGGGAGCAACAGCCTGGTGACAGTGTAATCAAAGAGAGGTTACTAATTTACTCCAAATTCCTTGGAGAATAGGATTGTTTTAAGGCAAATGCTCTTTAAAAATAAAGTTGTAAAATAATTTTATATTTGCATCTTACTTACTTACATTGCTCCTTTTTTTGGTTAGGCACTGAGTAGGGGTGGCGCTGTGGGTTAAACCATAGAGCCTAGGACTTGGCTGTTTGAATCCCTGTGACGGGGTGAACTCCCGTTGCTCGGTCCCTGCCTGCCAACTTAGCAGTTGGAAAGCACATCAAAGTGCAAGGAGATAAACAGGTACCGCTCCGGCAGGAAGGTAAACGGCGTTTCTGTGCTCTGCTTGTACGCCGGTTCCCTTGGCCAATAAAGTGAGGTGAGCGCCGCAACCCCAGAGTCGGTCACGACTGGACCTAATAGTCAGGGGTCCCTTTACCTTTAGGGGATCTTTTCAGCCATAATGTAGATTGAACTCACTATATAATTAGGGGAAATATTGTGCAGGACTCCTCTAACCAGCATCTGACAGGGTGGAAGGTATCGTGAGTGAAACTTGCTATGATTAGTGTCCAAGCAGTAATTATACATATATTGGAATATAAATTAAAACAATTTTACTTGTGAGCTTAGACTATATAACCATGCATCTTATTTGAGCCCCTCGGTTATCAAATGTGGCAGTAAAATATCAGTCTACCTTCAGAGAAAATGTATCCACTGACCTACCCTGTTATCCTTCTGGAACCATCTTGAGTAACTCAAGAAATGTGTTGTGATAGACATGACTAATCAAGGCTTCTCTGTACAAGGGAACAGAATTTGTCTTAGGTGAATGCCCTCCTATATTCATAATGTAAATAAAATAGGGGTGTTGCTACTAACATCATTTATAGCAAACTTTAATGGACATAAACAACTGTGGATCAGTGTCTGATTATTTTTTACAATTCCATTTAGTCAACACTTAGATAATAGCAAGGATTTCCAAAATGCCCCTCTGTCAATTTCATTTTATTCAGATTTGTATCCTGCCTTTTGACACTATTCTTCCAAATGGCACACTGTTATCCAGACATGATTTAGCACCTTAGACTCCCCTCTGGATTAAGTTTGTAGTGCATAACTGTTCTCCAGACCTATCCATGAGATGACCTTTAGAGTAGTATTTCTAAGCTTATTTTATTTATTTTAAAAAATGTGTTTGCTGCTCTGGAAATCAATTTAGGAAGCAGTGTGCAGTTGTGTTGTGCAAATACAAGTCTTGGAAAGGAAAGCAGAGTGCCCGTTAGACACAAGTACGTATTTAGACAGTTGCTGTTCTTATGCAACTGATTCCAGCTTCTTTAATTCCAAGTGACTGAACAGTTGCATGCAGTCGGAAAGTTAACTCTCATTTCTCTCTCTCTCTCTCTCTCTCTCTCTCTCTCTCTCTCACACACACACACACACACACACAGAGAGAGAGAGAGAGAGAGAGAGAGAGAGAGAGAGAGAGAATTTGCAGGAAAATGGGAATGCTTCCTAATCAAAAATGAAGAATAAAATATTTTAAAAGCCAAATGGGAAGTATAATGAGAAGAAACCAAGACATAATTGTTCTCATGTTTCTTGACTACTAAGAATGCCATTCGGTGACATTTTTAAGTCTACTGGGATTCTGATATAAATGGACTAGTTGAACTGATCAGTTTCCTTTGTGGAGTGGGCGGGGGAAATAAAAGACCATTTGCTTCATAAAAAATTCAGCATTGCCCTTTTTACTTTTCAGAAAACAAGGTTTTCTTTAAGTGAAAGAAGAAAATCCTCTGAAAAGAAACAGATTGGAGGAGATAAAAATAGCTTTCTAAATGATGCTTTTGAGGAGTCAGCTTGCATTCTTGTACTACAAGTGTGACCTTAGGGCCCAGAGATGCAGTCTTCTGAATTCCAGTAGTGGCTTCAAAGGCATGTTTGTTGTCACTAATCAGTAATATTTCTTCCTTCAGCATATAATTTTATCAGTAGTGTCCACTTGACTTGGTGATTATCAGCCAGCTGCAGTCTCTACACACAAATGCACAATCTAGTTACGATCCAGACCCAATTATTTGGTTGGGTGCGAGGCGGGTTAGAAGCTCCTAATTCACATCAGATTGCTGCTGACACACTGCATTAGTGCAAATATTTTCTCGAGCCAAACTCCTCCCAACCTGGACAAAAACAGTGGCAACGTGTGAACACTGACACGCCTCGACTCCACAATGGGCGCAATTCACTGGGAGCAACACTTGCGTCAACTTGATTGGAAAGAGGTGTTGCAAATGTGCATTCAATGGCACACTTGTGCTGTTAGCAAAATCCCATTTCTTTCACTGAGCTTGCACCCGAGACGTTTCCAGTGGACCATGTCCGTTGACCTTTATATTTGGATATTTATAATTGACTCCCTATGCATCTCTAATGTGGGACTTTCCAGGGTTATGGCTGCCTTCGTGAATACATCTCAACATAATTCTTTTCCAGTCAAGCTAAAGCAAACATTTATGCAAATATACTAACCAAATACACTAATATACCAATTCTGGGTCCCCTTTATCTTTGTGCAGTGAGCTAAGCCTCCTTAGGGAAGTTCACAGCCTCGAGCTGCGATGTCTCCCTAAGAGATAGCAGTTATTCATTCCCACCTAAAAACTGCAAAGAGATGAAGTTGCAAAGGTATCCCCACAAGCCCCAGAGCTGCAGTGTGTGACAGTTTCATTAATGTGGCCAGCGGAAGGCATAGCTTAGTCAGGGCCACTCGGAGCTCAGGCGTACAGGTAAATGTGTGCCTGAACACTCTTCACCTTACAGCTAGGCAAGGAGTGATTTACAATAATTATACCTCCTCAGGCGCATGGAATTTTGCATCCTGGGGGGGGGGGGAGGAGGACCAAAACAAAACAAAACTTACCCACTCAGAGAGGGAAGCTTAGTACACACCTTTCTTTTACTTGCAAATGACATTCTCCATCAAAGTTTGTAAGGCCAGCAGCTCTTCCTTTGCTATGAGAATGTGCACACTTTAGCTATTAACAGAAGCACCTGCAAGCTATTGTTTACAAGCTAAAGCAGCTGACACAATTGATAGTGGCTCCTTCACAGTCTATGTTTCATACGCTCTTTCCTCATGGTAGGAAAGAAATCGGGGGGCTGCCGTTGGAACAACATTGTTGTTGTTGTTGCTGCTGCTGCTGCTCTTCTCTCTCCAGTGCAGTTTTTTGGTATAAAACACACACCATCAAGAGCAAAAGGCAATGGGACTTCATGTGACACCCAGCTTTTCTCTTAATTAAACAGGCTTCCATCAACTGCCATCTCCTTGCAGCCTTTGGCTGAGAAGCACCCAAACTTTCCCGCAAATGAATCATTTTTTAAAAAACAAATTGAAAAGTGGCAGCTGTAAAAACCAAACGTCATGTTTTGCCAACAGATTTTGCCGAGAAGAAAGTTCCAGGCAGGGGTTTCTGCCTCGCTGCATTGTCAACTTTGAGATGGCTTTCCATAAAACAGATCACGCCAGAATATTTTAAAATGAAAATGCAACAACTCTCAATCTCCATGTGCTGCTGCTGTAGTTTTGAAAAGAGCACTTCAAGATAGTCCTGAATCTGACTCCCCAACCTGGTGCCCTTCGGATTTTGAATTTTAATTTTGGACTGCAACTCCCAATGGCTCCAGCCAGTATGACCATTTAGGTGATAATGGGATTGATGGGAGCACAGCCATGCTGGTTGAGCCTGATGAGAGCTGTCATCTAAAATATTTGGAGGGCGCCAGTTTGGGGCAGGCTGCTGTACATTGACAAAAGACTGTCTTAGCCAGCATCGCCAAAATGTGCATCGAAAGCTGGAAAAATGTTTGCATTTTAAGTGTGTGTATAATCAAAGCAAGAATTGTAAACGAAAGTGATACAGAAAATTTAACAATTAATGTTTGGTGGGGGAGGGACTTGTTTTTGCATGCAGTTATGAATGAGTGGTTTCTGAATGTTTTGTTCATGTTTCATGTGTTTTCAATGGTGCAGACCTAGACATCTTTCTGACAGTCTATTGGTTGTTTGGTTTAAAAGAGGCAAAAACAAAACAAAAAACCACCCCAAAATATATTAACTGATTGGAGAGCCTCGTTTGCAAGCTAATCTGAGCAAAAAGCTTTTGTCAGATGCCGAGGGATTGACTTCTTTCGTTATTCTTTTCCCTGAGAAATTCATCCTCTGTTCTTAAGTGTTTTGTTTTCTCATCCCTTGAGGAACACAAAGAAAAATGAGTTTGTTTTTACTTGTAAGGCTTTACTCAGTTGCCAAATTCCGCCGAAGAGCTGGACTATGGGGATCTCTCAGGTAAGGGCTAGTTCTTAGGTTAAGCCAATGTGGTTGTTCAGTCTGTGGGTTTGTTTGCTTTCCACCTTGTTTGCATCCTGGCTGCTTTAAAACAAAACGAAACAAAAATCCATTGTGCAATTGCTGTGCGGCAGAATCGCAGCTAATCAGATGCAGAGGCCCATTATTCAGAATGGCTGCTCCTCTCCTCTCCCCTCTTGCCGTTGGGCTTTTCCTCCTCCCAATCGCTTGATAAGGACAAGAATTTACCAACGTGTGTAGCAGCACTTGAGAGGGGGGGAGGTGATGGGAGCGTAGAGCGCCGCGAGTTATATTACAGGTTGTCTAGTAGCTGCTGTGAGCTCAGTTGCTGGAAATAATTTTTTTGAATCCTAATTAGAGAACGGTTCAGTTGAAATTTTGTTGCATTTGTAAAACACTTAAGGATGCCAGGTTTGTGTGGGGAAAAGGGGTGAGGGGTGTGTGTCTCCAATACAACCTTGCTTGGACTCTGGGTTGCCTGTTCTGTCATGTGCTGCTGTTAAATGGATGTGGCAGGATTCTCTTAAGTGCAGAGAGAAGAGGGAAATTATTTCATTGCATACCAGACTCTAAATGAATTATATGCCAACCTTACTTATTTTTTTCACAGCAGATTGAATAACTTTGCCAGGAAAAGATGTAGTCCTTCCTATTTTACTATCCTATGTTGTATCCTGTCCCTCCCCATGCCCCATTCGACTCAAGGCAGTATACATGGGGGTTATCCCATTCTTACCTTCTCAACAGCCCTTTGAATTTGACTGGTGCTTTGTCCAAGAGCCCACAAGTGAGTGGAGATTTGCTCTCCACGTTCCCACAGTGGAGATCTAATAGAGATTTAACTAATCCAAGTTAAGACTCGGCCCTTTTTTCTGATTGAGGAGTTAGGGTTCAGGCAACCGTAGTGTTTGTTTGGATATGCCATTTTCTTCAGGGAGTATACAGGGCTGGGGTTTATATGGCCTATATTTTATAATGGATAAAATGTGTTTCCATTTTGACATAAGAGATGTATACTGTACTAAGACGGAAATTACACTGTTGACTGGAGACATGGAGAGGAGTTTGTGCTATTAAAAAAAATCCATAGTTGTGTATTCCACTGATACTCACAGCATGAAATGAATCCTGTGTTGGCAGATCTGCTTTTTGTTTTTTAAGATAATCTTTAAAAATACCTATAGAACCAAAAAGAGGGGAAGGGATTGACAGAATTGATATTACTAATAAAAACTCATAAGTGGCAGAAATAAAAAAGATCAACAGTTACAACATAAATTATAAAGGTGAATATAATGAATGTTAGATTTTACCTGTGTAGGAACCAATTGTTAGATGTTTTGATTGTTTTATCACATGTGTGTTTGCCATCCTGGTCTCCTTTGGGAGAATGGGCAGGATATAGATGTAATAGCAATAATAGTAGTAGTAGTAGTAATAGTAGTAATTGATAGAAGCATCTAGTTGGCTGTATAAAATGAGAACAGAACCAATAATTGCATTCGAACAAAAATACAAAGCTGTATTTTACCTTGACAATTTTTGTTCAAATTATATCAACAGAGACCATTTTTTATCAAATCTTGCAGCAGCAAATAAATTAAATAACAGTTCTAAAGCAGCAGTTTCAAGCCATCCTCTTAAATATCCCTAAAGAATTATCTTTGGATTTAGCAAGGTGCTATAAACTGCATTTTATTTCATTCTGTCTAGAACTGTGCTCTGAAATTTTAGTTGGTACAGGCAGAAACAGAACATATGCATAAAATCTGCCTTAACAGAGCTCTCAACAATTGTTAACACTGGACAGGTTTTAAATAACCTCTGTGGTTTCTCTGATAAGGTATCTTGAAATAATTTTCTTTCATGTCGCCTCTTACCAATCTGATAATGACACTGTCCCAAAAGGTTCAATCTTTCCCCCATTATTTATTGTTGTTTTTATTGTTGCTGTCTTTTGTATACTACTTTTGTGGGGGGGGGGGGAATACCACAGCTGTTCACATATTACAACCCTCAAATACAGCAATAACAGCAGATAGGATGAAACTCACTCAAAGCTGAAATAGGCTTGCCATACTCCGGAAAATTACTGACATGTCCTGGTTTTTGAGTGTAAAAATGGCATCGGGGGAATTTTGCTGAACTGGCTGTACTGTATGTCAATGTGATAGGAAAAGCAATGGAAACAGCTCAAAAAATTTAAAATTGGTATTTTTGGGTTAGGTTTCCCCAAGAAGCTCAACAATCTGGGTTTGTTCCCCCAAAAAAGAGCTGAATTTTGGAGTCGGGGATTTTGCTTTTTGAAATATGGCAACCCTAGTTGAAATATATGTTGAGAGTGGGGTCTGTTTTGGCTGCATAAAATTGCAGATTGGGTCACGCACAATGGCAAACATGAGGGACCTTCCTCTTCATTGTTTGACACCAGGCTACAAATCCAGATTGGCTTGGCTTGATAGTTTGCTCATGAAATTCTTTCATGGCCCATCAAAGCACTTTATAAGACTCATGAACTGATTTCTCCTCTCCCCCAAGCAGTCAGAGGCCCACAGTTCTTCCAAATTTAGGCCTCCTGTCGCTTGTTTTAACCTCTCTTTCTACAACACTGAACTGCTCTAACCAAGTGGGATGGGAGGGGTGCAATCCAAAGTTCATTCTGCGTCCGTGAAACAAATTGTGATTGTGTAAAAGCATGATGGCATTCTAGCATAATCCCCATTCCAAGGTTCCTCTTGGATTCTGACCAGTATTTCTACTTCTAAGTCTTTTTTGAACTCCTCTTTATAGCGTCAGGTTGAATGAGTAGGAAGAGAATTAAAACTACATCCCATCTCTTGCTCCTTGCCTGTGTTTATTTGGTAATGTGACAAACCCATACATTTGTGCACAAGTGAAGCAATCTCTTTGCATTTATTCACCATGTTCCAGCCGATCACATCCCATTTTTAAGATTGTGCTCCTGCTAACATGTGTTGTAGAACACGGCACAATCAAAAAGGACCTGTGTAGCCCTTCCATGTAGTTTGATTAACTAATCAAAAACTGATTAGCACCTTTGTTCATGGGGGATGCTGATTAATCAATTACTATTGATTGTAAGCATGGCTTTGTTCTCTGGCAAAGGGATGCCTAGAGAAGCAGCCAATAAAAATTGAGCACCTGTCATAGCGATTAAATTTATTAAAACAAAATACATTATTTTTTATGAAGCTATCTTGAAATGGGTCACTGAAGGGGAACATATTGATTGAGGAAGGATGAACTTCTTGAATTTCGCTCACTTAAATTAGAGACCAAATTCAATTATAATGCAAGACAAACAGGTTAACACCAGCTTTAAATAGCCCATCAATAAATTAGAATAGGTGCAGTACACTTAACGCTAAACTAGGGCAATGAATAATATTGTCTGTCCCTGGCTCTTCTTGGCCTTGGTTTTAACCTTTCTGGGTTATTATGGACATAAACATGGCCAGCAATTCGCAGACAGAGACACCAGCCCTTCTGCCACTTTGCGTGGCATGTCCTTACACAGTGAATCCGATTCACTTGACTGGACCTGGGTGCTGTTTGAAGCTCTCACATGCCTGCTCAATATCACAGCCTCCTATGTCAGTGTAAGAAAGCCTTTCTCAAGCTGTAGGTCCCCAGATGATGTTGAACTACAACTCCCATCACCCCTAGCTAGCAAGGCCAGAGCTCAGGGATGATGGGAGTTGTAATCCAACAACATCTGGGGGCCCACAGGTTGAGAACCACTGGAGGCCTTCTCCAAATTTCATGGATTGGGCTGTGATCTAACGTGCATATTTCCATAACTGCTAGTGCTGGAGAAACAAAAGCTTACTCCACACGCCCTTTCTCTTTGTGGCTTGTGCTGATCTCCACCCAAAACGCAGCTCCTTGTGGTGCACCTCCCATTCCTTTCAAAGGCGATTTGTGTTCTTGCAAAAAGCAAGTTGTGTTGCTCTGCTTGCAAATTAGCCAGGGATAGCTTTGCTGTATGGCTATTTATGCTGAACAATGAGGTTGAATAGCTAAATGCTGGGCCCTTTAGATATTGGGGGGGGGGGGAGGTACCGTAATTATCTAGGGATTTTGGCAGGGTGGGCTCAGGATTATCATAGAATTACAGAGTTGGAAGGAGCCCCAAGGATCATTTAGTCCAACTCCCTACAATCCAAGAACATGCAGCATTCCCATATGGGGATCAAACTTCTAACCTTGGAGTTCTTAATTGTCCAAAGTGGGCTTTCCAAGAGGAGTTCCCAGAGGAGACAAGTCCTCATAGGACATCTGGTCCAGCATATCAGCCCTTATGGTCTGTGGTTTCACAGGTAAATTCAGTTCCAATATAGGCAAAAGCTGATGCCAAGGTCCTTGAACCAAAGCTTGATTTCCATGGCTTCCCTTACAAATTTTGAAATAAAACACCTTCTCCACGGTGATGTCTAAAGATAAATCACCTGGCAGCATTAAGCAAAGCATTTATAGATGCACACGGGTATGTGTACGTATGTGGTGGAATCATCATAGTATTAAAAATTCATTCCCCTTTAGAAATGGTGGAGCTTTAAAACTTATGTAGGAGGGAGCCTTAAATCGAAATGTGCCGAAATTAACAGTCATGCTGAGCCCACACAGAAGAGATCTATCAGCCCTTTGGTTTTATAGCGAAAATGTGCACGGCAGAAAATTCAGGCTTGCTAGTATAGCATTGCCCCCTCCTTTTGCAAATAGAATGTTTTATTACCTTTGTCTACATAACTTAGTCACACACACACAAAAGTTAAACAAGGAGCAAGAAAACAAGACCCCGTGGAGCAAATGTGTTAAATCATAGCAATAAAGCATCCTGTGTCTGGAGTTCCTTAAGTACTTTTCTTCTATTGTGCCCCAGGTATTAAAAAAACAGAAGCTTCAATGTATTGAGTACCCTGCTGCCAGAGCTAGAGCAGCCCACAAAGAAGGAAGTT